AGTATTGCATCTGGGGTGTGAGGAGACTAAGTCAACTTCCATGAACTCTGATCCTTAAGACGAAGGGAAAAAAAACAATCAGCACTTCGTTCAAAGAGCTGTGATCTGCTGAAGTTGTAAGGCTAAATGCTTGATGATTTTAACAGGATGGAGTGGAGATAAGGAGTTCTCCTGAAAGGTCTTTGATTCTGGAACTGACCTTCCCTCTCTATTAGTCCTTCTTACAGCACAGGCTGTCTCACCTTCAAAACATACATACTCAAGCACTTCTCTTTTTTCGAGCTTTTTGGCAATGGTAATTGGTAAGATTTTAAAGGTTTTTTTCTAGTGGTGGTGTTGTTGATCTTATTACTCAGCTGAACTTCCTTGTTAATAATGGTTTACTTATGTCTCCAGATGGGCACATTATAAGCATAAACAAATAATTGAGGTTATGAGTACATGCGTGCATACAGATTGTCCTGTGCTTTGCATGCAGAACTACATATTCCACTCCATCAAAATACTGGACCCAAAAGATCATAGAGCAGTTTACTTAAGATCAGCATGTGCATTGGAGCTTTCCTTTTCAGAACCCATGCTTTTTTAATTGGTTACATTATTTTTTAGTACAATGGTGAAGAGCCTTTTTTCCCACCATTACATATCTCTACTCCTTTCTCTTTTCCTTTAGCATGACAAACTATAAAGCTGTAGGGGAACTCTGGTGATGAAGAAATTCAAAACACTGAGTCTGAGTCTCAACATATATTTTTCCAGAAATCTCTTTTCTTTCTGCTCTACTTGTCATGATAGTAATAGAAACTATTTCTGGAGTTTGAATCTGGGCTGTTACTAGGCTTTTGCGCTTTGGCATAACTGGGATCTCCTTTTCAGTTACCATTTTGCTCAGACTGGGAATCTGTCATGTATCTTGTTCTCAAGTGATGAAAAGACTATTTGAGCAGCTTCTAAACAGTGCTAACTTCATCTTCTGCCTGTTCTTTGCTCTGTAAGGAAGACAACTAAGAATGAGGGATGGGATAATACAGATAGTATGGAGGACTTCCCAAGAAGAAGTCATTGATAACAATAAGAATTGGACAGACCTTCCTGTAGGACTGGACTCTCCTGAAGAGTCCTTTAGCTGTATGCACACTGGGATCAGCAGGTTTGTCCACCCAAGGAAATCAGTTTGCAGTATGTTAAGACTGAAATTACAGTGCAATGGAAACCGTGCCCTAACTACCTGTTCAGTATGTTTTATATAAGAGGTGATCTGCTTTGCTTTCAAGGCAAAAATAATCTACCTTGCAGGAAGAAATCCTCAGCATATGCTAAGAGCGTCTACACACAGAGCTAGTGTGGAAGACTAACTTCCTGCTGCGTAGATAAGCAGAAAAATAAGACTTGCATCTTCAGTCTTCTCCACAAACCCTTCCCCTTGAAGAGAAAGTCTACAAGGAATCCCATATGGGTTACTTTGCAAAGTTTCTTGTATACTTTCTTCAGCTTTTATAGGGGTTATTGAAACTATTATATGGCATTGAAATGATCTTTAAAAAGTTGGGTACTATGCCTAATTCTCTATTGCTTGACCCTGTGCAGTCATTGACACCTCTACAAAGAGAGCGCCACTTAAGAATTTTTCTCCACTTTCCTAGAGCGATGACAGTGTTTTGAAATCACTTGTACTCTTTGCACAAGAATAAATGAGTGAACAGTGTGCAAAGCAGTAGAAAATCGGCCTACACTTTTTTGCTGCTGTGAGAAAGAGGAAGTCAGTGGGCCAAAAACTAGACTTAATTTCCCCACTATAAATTTGGGATAACTATGCTCAAATAATTGCAATCTCCATACAAGTTAGGGCTTGACTCTGCACTTCTTAGCAAAATCCTACCCAAATCAGCACGTGAACAGTTTGCATAAATGGAACTACTAGTAATGATGGTCATACTAGGCCCCAAATTATTTAAACTTGCCTTCCTTCCTTGCCTTAATATAATTAATTCAATCTGAAGTCGAATGAATTCTTAGGTCTGTTAATTTTATTTCACCTTTGGTGATTTTGTTCTTCATTTAAAGTAACCCATGTTTTATTTGGATACAACATGCTAGGATGAGGCCATCCATAGCTAAGTAGTAAATCATTCCATCTTGGAAAAGTCATTTATGGGCAGCTTCTATGACTTCTTTCTGCTAGAAACAGTACCCCTAATGTGAGCAGTTGTGGTGCTATTAAAGATGTGACAATACCGCTTAACAGGATTGGGCCTGTAGTTCACTGGGAACAACAAAACTTACGGTGTGTATTCAAGTTCTGAAGAAATCTGGAGGTATGCTATTTGAATTTCCTTTCATGAGGTTATGGAACTGATTAAGGAAACACTTGTCTCTTGCCATTTATACCACTGATTAAAGTGGAAAGACAAGAGAAGCTTTAGCTGAACTTTCATCTCCTGGGCTGCTGTTAGCTTTTTAAAACAAGGATATTCACAACCTCTCCAGAAGCTCTGAACTGCTGTCTAAATGCAGCATTTAGGTGAGTCCAGTTTAAGCATACTCACAAACAGGAGAGCATGTGTATAAAAAGAAATAGGAATTTTTCCATGTATAGAGTGAGTCAATGCTTCTAGAGCGAGAAAGGATGGTGCAGAAAGGAAGTTTTATAGCTACGTGCATTCTATGCATACAAACATAGGTTTTACATAAGGAGACAAAGATATCTTTATCCACCCAATAGATAGACAAACAGACTGACTGACTTCAAACTTGCACTTTCAGTACAGATTTTTCCCCCCCATCTCCGGGTACTGCTTTTCAAAATTGCCTGAGGCTACAGTACAGCACCTCAGATCCCCAAGGCCCATTGCCTGGCTCCTAATAGCCACTCTCCATCTGTGTCACATGAACAGCTGATGAGATAGCTCCAGTGTCTGTATTTTGGAGAGCATATCCACCCAGGTTAAAATGCTGGGGTTGCCAAGGAGCAGTCAGAAGCCATTAGTGTTTGTGAGAATTTGCCTTGCAGCAGTTCCTTGGCATAAGCGATAGTGTGTGTGTGTGTGTGTGTGTGTGTGCATGTGTGCGTGCGTGCGCGTGTGTGTGTGCGAGAGGGATGGAGTAGAGTATGTGGGGGGGGAGGGGGTGACAGAGAAGAGTGCTTTCTAAATAACCAGCACCTCGCAAAAGTGAGCAGTTGGTTACAGTATATAGGGCTACCATAATCTCTTTGATTAGTTTGCTGTGAATTGAATCTCCATTTCCTATCTTTAACAGAAACAAACAAAAAATTAAAAGGAGGAGGAGAGAGCAGGGACTTAAGGGTCTTGCTCCGGTGTTTGGGCAGATGGAAAGGAGCTGCTCTGCCTTGGGGCAGGGTGGTTGTAATGAAGTGGCCTGTCAGTCTGTAAATAGTGAGGGTCATCTCTTCCATGTGATGGAGGGTATCACATTGCAGTGAAAATGGAAATGTCAATAAAATTAATCTGCCAGCTCTTTGCTGTGGCTTTTTCTGTCTCTCTGGTCTGTGAGGGTTGGTTTTTCAGTGAGGAGGCAGTGCAAGAAGGGTGATTTGGCACAGGAGGTGCAGATAGAACTGAAATGCAAGTTTTGAAGCAAATGGGCTGTACGTAGCAGCAATGTATTTCGTTTAGTAGCACTGCAGAGCTAGACAAGGCTATAGGAATTAGCTTGTGGATCTATAGCATTCCTCAGGAAGCTATGGAGCGTCTAGCTCAGGCTACATTGAGCACAGAGTTTATTGTTTTAGGCTTTCTTGGACAAGGTTTTTACTTAGCATGGGATTTATGGCATTTACTGCTAATGAATGTCTATTCTTAAATTACAAAAACCACCGTCTCAGCACAATTCCCAGATGTCCTTCCAGGACCTCGGCTTCTTAAACACCAGCAGGGAGCATAAACTCTCCACTTCTCTGTTTTCCTCTTTCGTGTGGCTCCGGGCTAATGATGTGTAAGGAAAACACAGCAATCTATAAAGTCTCAGTGCTGTCCCAGTATTCTTCATTTATTTTGCATTTGATTATGCCACAAGTCGGATCTTGTTTCTTTCCTTTTTTTAAAGTTATTAGTTCAAATATTAATGTAGGAATATGGCATATATTGCTGCTCTTGATTGATGCCTTCCCAAAAACAGGAAGACGTGCTCGTATGAATTTTAAGAAAGTAGGGGTCCTGCAATGCCTTGCCAGAAGAGTTTTTCAGATACATAATTTAGATGCCCTCCAGGCAGGCTTTCAAGGCATTTTTGCTGGAGGGCAAGAAAAAATAACTATGACTGTTAAAAGTAAATGATTTTTGCTAATGCACAATTAATGCTAGGGAAAAGCACAGAAGAGAAAGATGTTGATGGAAAGTTCTGATTAAGTGAGAGCTCTACCTTGATGTGCATCTTTTTTTTTTTTAATGATAATCACTGATGCAGAGATGCGGAAGTTTTTATGTCATGCAAATGCTATGTACAGGGTCACAGTAGGTGTACGTGTTTGTGCGTGTGTATGTATGTGTGTTGGGAGGCGAGTTATGGGGAGGGGCTCATCTGACAGTGTGTTATGTGCACTGAACAGTGACACAGTTACTGCCACCTATGCAGAGGGCCTGGAATATATAGACTACAGAACATTTAACTTGATTACTTACAGTATGTATTCAGAATGGTTGTAGGGTTGCAGTTACAGTGAATGGGTTTTCTTGTGGCAGGTTTTCCCACATTGAATCCCATAATTGACAAAGAGCTATTGCACGATGTCAAGCACACAATTATAATTGAATTAATGATATATGCATGTGTGAGACACAAAATCAGTATTTGGAGAGACATGGCTTCTAATTTTTACATATTTGTAACTGCACTCGTATTTAATGAGAAACTGTATGTGCCTGATGTTCTATCAAATCAAAATAAAACTATAGTAGTATCTTGGAAATTATTGCTACCTTTTGGCTGCTATACTTTGTTTATTGTATGTCCCCTTCCTCCTGTTTTTCTCTTTAATATAGGAGATGGTTTAGACAACAGTGTAGCCTCACCTGGTACAGGGGATGATGATGACCCAGACAAGGACAAAAAACGTCAGAAGAAAAGAGGCATTTTCCCCAAAGTAGCAACAAATATCATGAGAGCGTGGCTTTTCCAGCATCTCACAGTAAGTGGTGCCCCAAAACAAAATAGATTTCTATTCATGTGCCTAATGAGGTTTATTCATGGTTACTAGAAATCAATTGCCCCCATAATTTTCTGGAGGATTATTAAGGCTCAATTATCACTTGCATTTTTTTCTAGATTTTTTTTGTCTTGGCTCTTGGAATCATGACAAATCTGAAAAAACGCTTATATATATAGATAGAGAGAGAGAAAGAGAGTACAAGGTCTTATCACGGAACAACACCTACAGATAAAGTAACCATTTTTTGCTTTGAACTATTCAAAATGTTCCTAAAGATAAAGAAGAGGCTTTCTTGCTTTAGCATATATAAAGCTCTGCCTTCTGGATTCTTTATTGTTGGCCTCTGTTTACACAAACCTCATATGTATTCGGCGGAAGAGAGACCCCCCAATCTGTGTATTCTGACATATACTGTGGGATGCAAGAGAAGTCAAAGAAGCAGCTTGCAAACTTGTCATATGTTACTTTTGGTGAGAAATATAGAAGGCTTACAGGTTCCCCACATTCTTCAATTGTGCAACAGAGAAAATAAGAGCCTTTTAGTTTCTCTCCAAGTCCATTATCTTAAAAGCTAGCCATGTTCACATTTGGGGGAGAGAGATTAAATATGTGAAAAAGCAATGCTTTTACTAACAGTCTATCTTTATCCTCCTGTTTGCAATTGGTTTTATGTGTTGGTGTTCTGTTGACTGTTACAGCTTCACTTAGGCATCACAATACAGTTCTACAGAAAAACTAGTAACACACTTTGTAGTTTACTTCATGTAGGGAATAATGGAAACTGGTAAAATTATCAGCTGATTTTCCTCTTCTTCTTACTGTAAAATTGTTTCTCACTTAATCAGGCTTAAAATGGTAACAGTGTTTTTAACTTTTACTAAAGTTTTATACATTTCCACAGTAGCTGATGTTAGCTACAGTGTCATGATTTGAGGACAAGGTACCCATTTTATTTATGATGGGGACTATCGAACTGCTCTGCTAGGAGCACAGCTAAAGGGGGGAGCAATAGATCCACATTTCTAAACCATCATTTTGATGTAAGGACATTAGTAGCAAACTAAGGTGCATTGATCTGGCCTGTGGGGTCAGGATTAGCTGGAATAGCCAGTGTCTCTGCTGGAGTAGTGGTTATTCTTGCCTCCCAGCTATGGCCATTTCAAAGGTCAGGTGCCCTGTACCCACTTGGCTCAGAGGAATTAGACAGAACATGAGTCTCTGGGCTGATTACTTAACCAAAGACAAAATAATGAGTCCTAAGCAAATACTGACTAATTGAAAGGGCTGTAAATCCATTACATATTGGTCAGGGATAATCAGGAGTATTTAATCACTTTTATCTATTCAGGAGCACTGAAGCTGCAACAGCAAAGCCCTGAACCTTGCCATGTGCTTATTATTCTCATCATTATCAAAATTACTTCACAGCTGTTCTTTGCTACATCACCTCAGCTGGAGATTTACTAACCTGTAAAATGTTTTTAATTTGGAAGTCGAGTGAGTGAGAGTGGAGGGTTTTTCATTTAGCTGTAGGGTATCTTTAGAGGAGCAGTACAGGGAGACAGCAAAAAAGTAGGGCCACATACAAGCCAGTTTCTTTTGTACGTGTCTTTGTTAACTCTGTTTCCTTTTACAAAGTTTGTGATATCTTGGTTTTTCTCCTTGCCTTTCTTTCTTGTGTGCTGCTTGAAAGCATTCAGCACATGCCTATTAAACAGTCAACTGCCTCTCACTTCTCTTGAGGAAAATCCTCCTGGCTTTTTGAAATCCCTTTTTCTTGTTTCTATCCCTTCCCTTCTGACCGTCTTCGTTCTACATGAATTGAGGAAATTCACCATCTCTGGTGAGGATGGCCTTGCAAAAATCAAATTAAATGAACACCAAAGAGCCCCAAACCTTTTACCTTCTGAGCTTTAATGAGTTTGCAGGTGTTGAAAGATTTACTGTGCTGTAATTCTCAGACCTGAAAACTGATAATGGAGACCCCTGACCAGTGCAATGTAAATTCAGAAAGATCCTTGCCATAAACACATGCAGAGAAGGAAGAGAACTCCTTTCTTTCAAAGATCTCACACTTTTTCTCAAATTAGCTTGTCCATTCAAAGTGCAACACTGGCTGAGCCAGAACGGAGGAATCTGTGATGTACAATTTTATTGTTTCAAGTAAATATCTTTACAATGGCAGTCCATGATTCAATGTACATTCCTTCGTTACTGCTCTAACCTTATTTCAGATTGGTTTGTTCCTCCTTTGTGCTGTATGACCTGTTCTTGTATTACAATAATCCCTTGATGTACCCTTTTTTCTTTCTCTTTTTTTTAAAGAAACTAATTGAATTATCTCATTATTTTAATTTGTTAAGCAAATGTATTTTACATCTCAGGATGTGTTCTTAAAGAAGGAGCTGCTTAGGCTTTGCCCCCTGAATGGGCCATTGGTACATTTTGACATTCATGCATTCATTAAGGGAAGGAACATAAAAGAGCTCTGGTTGTATTTTTTTTTCAAACACCCAACCAGCATGGAGCAACTTTTCCATAAGCCACAGGGGTCTCTCTACATATGTTCTCAACTGCAAGCCATTGTCACCTATTCTGAATACCTCAAAAGGACAAATAAAATACTAAAGGCCAACTGTAGCAATTGTTAGCTGTTAGTCTCAATATGACAAAAATCATTAACCTCTGGTTTTCCTGGAAGAAGCAGTGGCAATCCATTTACAGTGTTGATTAAGCTTGAAATGCCTTTAGACTGTTAGATTCAAGGAGAGTAATTCAGTTCTGACTAAATATATTTATTTGTGATTTTAAATAAAATGCTATTTTTAATGCAGTATTCAACCATATTACAAATTCTTGAGCTAACTGATCTTAAAATAGACTTGCTTAAGTTTTTTTTTTTTTTTTGAGAGACAGGTGCTTGCTTGAACGCTGATGTAGAATCAATGTATCTGACGGGCTGCGTCTTTCAAAGCCATTTCTGTACCCTATCACCTATTCCATTTTGCAGTAACTTTAATTATATTAGAAATAGAATATACATGCATGTTTTTTTTGTTGGAACTCGAATGCAAGAAGTAGCAGCTTCTGCCATGTTCTTGTTCAGTTATTGCGCTCTGTCTTATATTTGGAATTAAAACAGTACCAGAGAATGAAAGATCTGAGGATGAATTGGTTGGAAATGTGTATGCTTTTTCTGGATAACGTCCAGTGTTTAAGAAAGTAGAGGAAATCCTAGTCTGGTAGTATAAGCTTTTCAATAGTACATAAAGATTATGACATCAGAAAGGTAAACCTGACATTAAGGCTGTTTTTATTTGAGTTCAAAGGTGGTTAAAGAAAAGAAACAGCAAGAAATCCGACCCAAGCCGAGAGTTTATTCATAGCTTTGGAAGACTCCTTTTCCTCCATGCCAAGGAGTCCTTAGTATACTCAATTAGCCTCTCAGACATCTCTGCTTTCCTCTCTCAAGTGCTCCCCTATTTGCCCTGCAAAGAACATATTTGATCATGAAATGAAAACAGGAAGTGCTCAAATGTATAGACACCTCTAGCTTACACCAGCGCTGAGATTGGGATTTCTTACTTGCAACTTGCAACAGAGCCTGGCCCCTCCGCACTCCTCCACCTCTGTGCCATTTTAAAGAGGAGAGGACCTTTAAAAATATATGTGCATAATCAGAAGAGAACAGAGTCATAAAGGAAGTAATTATAGCATTCTATGGACTTGTACCTCTGGTAGTTCAGCCCTTTCTGCAGCACAGTGTATCAAGAACTACACTTTCAACATTTTCCCCCTTCTTTTACAGAACTGGTAGAACAGAGATGCATTTATTCTGTGACACTTATCTGGAGGGATAACCTTTGTTAAAATTCTATTTTGGTTGTTTCTTTTATTGCAGTCTGTAGGAAGATGTATATTTTAACTAAAAGAAGCAGAAATACTAATGGTAGCATGCAAACTAAACATTTTATGTGACAGTGCCAGATTCTCAGCTGATGGTGTTCGGCATAGCTCCCCTAAAGTCAGTGGAGCTGAGCTGCTTTTTTGCTAGCTGAAGTCCTGTCTCCTAGCATTTATTTGGACAGTGTCATTTTAGCCCGATTTCCACAATCTCCTGGCTAAAAATCTTGCTGTTTACACAGTCCTGTAGAGTAGATTTCCATCCACCTCAGTGTTAAGCTAGAGTAAGTTCTGATGGAATGAATGTGTTAAAATGACTCAGTCATAGTTTTTATACTTACTTGAATGAATCTTCCTAACTTCCAGTATTCAGGTGGCCAGATTGGATAATATGAATAATCTTACTGAAACCGATCTTTTTTCTAGATTTATGTAGGTGCATCTGACAATATAGTGTGTCTGTATCTTTTTTTTTTTTTTAATGAATGTGTCACCAAGCCTTTTATACAGGCAGCTATTGTATATATTCATTAGCCTTAATTGTAGAGATGAAAGTCTCCAGGCAAAGCCAATGCTGGCATTTTGGGACAAACTTGTAAAACAGCTGAAACCATCCCACATTCATAAACGTCTTCTCTCCATCCTGATTTTAGTATTAATACCTAAGGGAAGGTTAGCACTCCAAGCTAATGCTGTTGCGCTCCAAGCTGAATGACTTCCTTCTATATAAAACTGTAGAGAAGCAGCTTTCCTCAAAGTTCTGCTTCAGGAGAAGCATTCCTCACGTAGTTTTTTTTTGCTACGCCTTAAAAAAAGTTCCAAAAATTCAATAGACCTTGGTCCAGCTAAAGGACCACGACACGAAAGCTGGGAGACTCAAGAAAATAAAGGAGTGTAAAGGTATTCTGACAAATTTTAGTGCTCGTGCACAACCAAACTGTAACATGTTATATACTCGGAGAGCACGTTGAGGGGATGGATCACGACCTCTGATCCTCCTGTAAAACGACCTGCATATGAGTTCACACGGCTGCTCTTTCCGCTTTAGTGCACCATGTAGTCAGAGAGCTGCAGAA